CTGTGTATTACAGTAGTGGATGGGTATACTTATATAGTACAAGTGGAGCATTTTCATGAAAGTGACTAAAATAGTGTGAGCTTAAATACTTGCTGTAAAACAAGGAAATTTCGTGTGCATTAAACTTTCGCGAATTTTGCAAATGGTCCAGATTCACGAAAGTTTTATGCCGCGAATAATTTTCAGGTCACATTTTCTATGTTTCAAAAAAGATCGGTAGAGTACTATCTGATCATTGTGAATGTCGAATCAGTTTCAGAAATGACATTTTTTTGGTCATTATAAATCACTGAATTACACCAAAAATTATTTTCAACTTTTTTAAAGATGATAATGAACAATAAACAGCAAGAATTGTTTGTATTTCAAGGCCTAAACTTGCCGACAGCGATGCAATGCAGATCATAGGGCCTAGGCCTAAATGGCGAATCCCCACAAATTGCAACATGTTTGTGAAGAGTGAACAACTTCAGCATTTTAAAAATTGTATTTTTAATTATTTTGGTGAATTTTATTAAATGTGTATAAACTTAATAGGATGTATTTTAATTATTGAATCAATATTCTGACCTTAACTTCTGATGTTGAGCTCGAAAAATTCGTAAATTCTAGGCCTATCCTAACCTACTCACTAAGTATACTGATCAGGGAGGTTCTGATCATCACTGCATGTTATTGCACATGTGCAACCACTCTGCAGTGTATACTAAGAAGTTAAAATAGAAACTAATTTTTGTACACCATTACATAACAATGTTCAGTCACCGTCAGTCAATGTGTAGGAATATAATTTGTTAATAAAACACGTTTTGATAAACATTGTTCATTGTAGAATGATTGAAAACCATACAAAATTTAGAAATATCGTATGTGTATAAACTTCTCTCTTGCTTAACTGTGCTGGATGGCCAGCTAAGTCCTGGTCCTTCAGCTGAGGGCTGCAGGCTTAAGACGCCTAGCCTAGGCCTAGCTACTGTAGCCTAGACAGTAGTTGTAGGCCTATCTAACCTAGGCCTAGAACTCAAGAAACGATATTTTCAGCTATTGTGTAGTATTTCTCTCATGAATAAAATTTAGGCCTTTTGCAATTCGCGAAAGTTTAATGTCGGAAAAATGGCCGAAATTATCAATTAGTGAAATTTCATGCCACAAAATTTTCTGGTTTTAAAGTAGTGGATTTATACCTTGAGAAATGTAGTGCTTTTATTTTGGTGTATCATCTGGCTCACTTGATTACAAATGAAATAATTAAATTACCAGAAGAAACTGTTCAATATAATATGGAATGCCACTTATAATACCATGACCTTGATAATCATTGATAGATGCAAAATAAGTAGAAATTTATCTAATTTGAGTTATGATATAACACAAATTATAGCCATGCACTATTGTAGGCACCTATCTTCATCTAATGAATAATTAATGATCCATGGATAATAACCTACCAATGAAATATTAATATCCTTATTGTGCCATGACCAGCTTGAAATATTGCCTTATTAAACACAAGTCCATTTTATTTCCATAAGTATTATTTTCCATTACCTTTATCTATTAATTTTTTTACATTTTTTAGTAAGTGAACATATATGTCGTTCAACTTGGGTAAAAAGAAGAGTTTTTTTGTCAGGAACAGATTGTTCTCACTGGAAATGACTTGGACTTTAAACCTAAATTATGATTATTATTTTCCAAGAACTTAACTACTGCTAGAAGAAAGAACTTAGTCTTTGATTAATATCATCTGCAATTTAAAACTGGTAATTTTAATGATATGAGGCAGTTTGAACCAAGATTATACTTTGTAGAATAAATATTAATATTGTTATCTTCATCATAATCAGTTTTTAAATTGTTTAAGACGGCAATACCATAGCATGGTAGAAATTTTTAAAAAGGTCCATCTTTAAAATTGATGGAATGGTAGCAACTAGAAGAAGGATACAATAGATAGTGTGATTTGGAAAAAAAGGGAATGAATAACAGATTGGGAAACTGCAAAGATATCCACTATGTCAATGATTAACATCTGTACAGTGTAATAATTTAGGGTGTGGTAGCTAAGTAATAATCCATAGCAGCTGTTTCTATTCATTTTTTTCTTTAATTTGTTTTTGTGTGACAGGGTAATTGTGTTTTTTTCAGTTGTGGTTTCAATGTATTTTGTGGTTTTGTCCTCAAAAACTCCATCCTGACTACACAGCACAGTGTAAACAATCAATTTGTTTGTGCTATACTTTTCAGAGTGTTATCTAGAATGCTATGCAATAACATGTTTTGAACCATAAATTCCAATCAAGATATTTTTTTCAAATATTGCTCATGGGTAGTAAGGGCTAAAAAAAAGATATGTGACTGCACGACTCACAGTCGGAGGCATTACCCCTCTCCAGAGACATTGCTCCAGGTGTCCACGGTTGAGCTGTGTAGTGTAACAATAAATTTTGGTGCTGGAGGCATGGAAGGAGGCACAACATTTTTTTCCCCAGGCCTATGAATAATATTTATTGCATTTAACAATTTCATTTTTTTCTATTAGAAATATCCCTCTTTACAGTTACAATCGTTTTGTAATACTACTTCAGCACTTAAACCTCTATTAGGTACCCATTCATTTCTAGGAATTATTGCATACACTTTTTTTTGTAAGAACCAGTAACATTTTGCCCAGAATCAGTGTTATTTTTTTTTTTTTTTACAGATTCCACGCTCATTCTTAATTTTTGGGCAATTTTAGCCTCGGCGCTCTTATAAAAAGTGTACTGCTCGTCATAACCTGTACAGCCATAAGCGGACTTGAAAATAGGTGTATATATACTGTATATATATAGTTTAAACAATATAGACATAAACTACATGCAAGAAAATGAATGTACCGTATTCGCGCGAATAAGTACCCCTCTCGAATAACCACCCCTCCTAACATGAAAATTTCCTTAAGCACCCCCGTTTGAATAAGCGCCCCCTTCTAATTTGAATAAGCGCCTCCCTCAAAAGATTTTCTTATTAGCAAGTCAATACAGTAATCCAATCAATCCTGGGATAGTGGTTGTTGGCATGATTTGAGCTGTAGAGTGGAAACACATTCTTCTTCGGTCAATATCAAAATGAGGATATTTCTCTTGGACAGATGAGAGCAAACGATCCCTGGACAGACAGTATATTTCCAACATTACTCTTTTTACATATTTGTCTATGCCTAGTCCTACTCCTCTTTTTCTTTTACCGACCTTTAGCACATTCTTATCTGAGTTTTCAAGAAAAAATACAATGATCCTGTCATCCTGCTAATCTCAATCGGCCGATGGCCAACAAGCTAACCACTACCCACCACTATTAATTGCATCTGTTATTTTGCTGTTATGTAAATATTCACGCATTCTTGTCATGAGCCATGTTCTCTGGACGATTATCTTTTCTAACCACCTTTCGTAATGTCCTTATAAAAGTGCCTCTTGAATTTAATAATTTCCATAAGAACCCCTCGATTTTCATCTATTTCCATAAGCGCCCCCTCAATTTCCACTCTGTTTTCATAAGCGCCCCGTTTGAATAAGCGCCCCTCAGAATGTGCAAAAAATATTTTATGCGCCCGGGCGCTTTCACGCGAGTACAGTACTGTATTATGGCCAATAGTTGATTTTGACCATAATTATCATAACCCTTTATCCAGGGACCTCAGACTTCTTTGTTACACCTCTGCTTACTGTTCTTTTAAATAAATTTAAATTTGTATAGATAGATTTATCTTTTTGCACAGCCAGTGGCTTCAGTGGACCACTACACTATTGGTCAGCTGGAAAAAAAAAAATCTTTGTGAAGGGAAAGAGTGTTTTTCTTAATCAATCTTCATATTTATAGGATACAGATTGAAAATTGTCTTTAGAAAATGACCTGAATAATGTAGATTTACTTTACACTACTTTTTGTGTCCATCAACTTCATTAACAAAGAGCTGATAATGGGTTTTCAATATTGTTCTTTGACAATATAGCAAATTAATAAATAGGCCCTACTTGTTGTTGATGAAGTAGTTGGTCATTGACCCCAACATGTTAGATTATTGATTGGTTTTTCTCAGAATATATTAAAATTGTGCATCCTACCAAGAAAGTAATACAATGTATTATTTTGAAGTAAGGATTTTAAGGCCAATGACCCCCTTAATGCTAGGATTTGTTATTATTATTATTATTATTATTATTATTATTATTATTATTATTATTATTATTATTATTGGATGCAGATTCTTAAAAATGCCACACTTTTGGTTATTTCTGGAGCTGAATTTTAAGAGATGTAACAGACAAAAATGAACATTATAATCAAAGTGGATAACGTTGGTTTGAATTTGATTGAATTGAATAATACCAGCCGTCCATTATGTATTTTTATGTACTTTTTGTATTTCTTTTCCTCTTGGTAGGAGTATATTTTGAAAAAAATTGAATTAAATTTCTGCTGGAATGCTTGGATGCTTCTTATTTGTATCTGTTTTCATTCATACATTTAGTCTCTTTCTGTAGCTTTGGATTGAGATTGAACTTTTGAACCTCTTGATAGGATAGATCTAATAATTATTTGCGTCAACCCTGATGTGATGGAATATAGCCACATCTTTAAAAAGCACTAGATTTATAGCATTGGGTGGCCATTTTACATTTATAAACAAAACCCTTTTTACCAGAAGAGATAAATTATATTCTAAGGTCATAGAATAGGTATTTTGATAACTATTGTTAATTCCTTTCTCATTTTATATTCTTCATAAGTATTATCTGTTCAGTAATGTGGTAAAGCTTTAGTCAGGCTGTGTTCTTTTACTGTAATAATAGGTTTATGGGTTTGAGTCAGATGAGAATTAGAAATTATGAATACATACATTGACTTAATTTAATCTGTTAGTTAACTACATGATCCAAAGATTTTACTGTAATTTAAATAAAAACAATTTTTTTTGTAAATGTTGTTCATTTTATTTTATATTATCTTTTTAGGTTATTAGCAAAAGAGGTCTGAAGGAGTATTACATCTGTTAGTATCACTCTGCTAAGTGGATTTTAAAGCCTGTTGAAATTTGCTGGACCTTCACCACCTGCTCTCACCACTCAAACAATTGCAAAAAAAAAGTATTGTCCGAAAAACATATATCTGATTGAAGTTGGTCGGAACTCTGTGTACTTAAAATTAAGTTTTTTATATGCGAAGACAAGTAGAAGTCTGTGGATGTTTAAAACCACTAAGTAACTGATCAGAGCAAATATTGTAGTGTAGAATCATTTGCCGTGTTCCTTTGCTGGTTGTTCTCTTTCCCGATTCATCCATCTGAATATGGTACGGTAAGTATGTGTTTAGTGTATGCTCCCGTATCTTGTTGCTCGTTAACGTCTCGTGCTCTGCTGGGTACTTCAGTGATGAGGTATGGTCGATTATGATCACCCTTTTTTCTCACTAGTCTTTGAAAGTATTCTCAAGTGAATGCTTGGTCACTGAGTATAATCTTTATTCATAATACTTCCAAGCTGGGCAGACTAATCAGTTCTACACTAATGTATCATTGATGTTGTTTTATGAATTATTAACATTTTTAATACATGTACAGTATATATCGTTTTTGCTGTTATTGTTAAACAATTTATATTTAGGATTTATTTAGTAGGTTCTGATGATGTGCTATTGAATTTAAGGGAGAATATTCGTGGGAGTTACAGTAACCCTCCTTTGTACCGGAGCTGAGCCCCTACTGGCCAAGGAGGTATTGTCAATTCAAATGGATGAGAAGAGAAGCATTGGTTTATCTTACACTTATAAACTAAAATCTGATAAAATATCCTAGGCCTATTTACAGATTAACCTAGGTTGGTTGGTTAGTGATTTAATTCAAGAGAGGTGGTGTGAGAAACTTGGATGCTGAGGTATGCAAACCCATACAATCACCAATACTTGTCTATATTCACAAATATAATGTGATATGTGTTTGGGTTCCTCTGCACATTTTTCTGTTCCTGGTTTATTTTAGTCCCTTGGTTAGTTTCAGGATGGTTAGTTTCAGGATGGATAATACAGTGAAGAAAGAACAATGAACTATTTATTTGCTATTGGTTATTCATCTGGATACATTAAGACATTTAAGATAGAGCTTCATGTTTGCAGTTGTCATGGCAGGAAGAAAAATGTAGTATAAAAATTAGGACAGCAAATGTATACAATTTGAAATGAAAAATGTCCCATGCTACTATTAAACAGTATGTACATCTACATTAACTTCTGTTACCTGAGGCTGAATTTACACCTGGATGAGTCTCGTCCTAGTTACCTGGTGATAAACACCTCACCTAAACATGTTTAAAAATGATTCCAGGGGTCAGTGAACCGAATCTGACAATGTGAACAGTATTTACCTGAACATTGTTAGTTCTTGATACAGATAACTTTTTTGTAAGCATACGTGACAACTTGCATCATGCATCATACTGTACATGTAGTATCTGATTGTTGGAAGATTTTTCTGTTAGTTCATTTTAGGAAATTTTGATTTGTAGGAGAAACAGTAAGTTATTAATAAAATGTATATAGTGCAATGCAATTTACATCACAAATATTGATTTTAAATAATAATATATTAAATGTAGTACTTTATGCTGTATATTGAGTGTAAATTTATTATTATTTTATAATTGTTTCCAATTTAATCATCACAAGTAGGCCTATAAATATAGCAATGTGTCATTATAATTTGATGTAGTGTACAGTAGTTGAATACTGTCAGGGACGGAAAAAGTGGGGCCAATCGAGATAACACCAGGCTAGGGGATCCGGGGGAAATGCCCCTGCGAAATTTTTATTTTCTAGACACCCAAAAATATGGACGGCTTCATCCTCCCACCCCTCAAATCCTCCCCTGACTGTAGATTGGTGGTTAACATGCTTGCTTTCAATCAATTCTCACAATGTAATCTCCGCTTCCTAAGACACTTAGCTTATGTATAGCATCTTATGACTAGGTAGAGTTGTACTTTCTGTTAATATAATGACTCCTATAAATGAAATAATGAACACACTTAAATGGAGTAAACTCAATGAAAGATGGAGAAATCAGTTTACTCATAATTATTTATAAGTGTCTACAAGGGTATGCACCATCATGTCTTTCGTCTATGCTTGTCTTTAATGAAAATATTCACTCTAAATGCACCCCGTAGCCAAAGTAGCAACACTTTAATTGTACCAAACTGGAATAACAATCATGGTAAAAGAACCTTTCAGTATAGATCTGCCAAAGAATGGAATAACCTACCAATTGACATAAGGAAAAATGCAACCAATATGAGTTTGGATATTTTCAAAATGCTATTTCTTAATTTTGACTTTTATCACATATTTAAATTCTTTTCTGTTTTCTTTTATGTTTTATGCCTTTTATTGTTGTTTTTGTTTCTTAATTCTAATGATTTTGTATTTTGATTATGTTAATTTTAATTAAGTTTCTATTCCTAAAATTGTTAAAAATAACTGGACCATTTGGGAGACCAGTACTTTTGTATTGAAAATGTATCCATTCAAAAGAAAGAATAAATAAATAAATATGTGTATGTTTGTCTTAAAAAGTTATTAGGTCTGAACACTGTTGGGCATATAATACCCCTATAGCCATTGTGCCTACTGTAATAATGAACATAATATAACCTACTAATACATTTCGCCTAAATATTTTATAAATAATATAAATGTAAAGTACAGTACAGTAAATATAATTTTGTGTATGAGTATATATTATATCGTTATATAATGTTTATCATTTGTAGAATGGTACTTATAACCAAGGTTTCTAATCAATTTTCATAATGCATTTTGTCATCAGCACTATGAGATGTCATTCAGTAAAGATGATCTATTTTATCAGACTCAAGGTTAAAATACTAAGAAATCATTTTCTTAAGATCCCTGTTTTTCAAATTTTGTTATTCACTATTCACTTGCATCTAGGCATCCCTCTACATATAATTGTCCCATTTCACCTGTACCTATGCTTGATAACCCAACTTTAATGCAATTTCCTTTTGAGAATAACTAATTATCGTTTGTACAAACTATGAATTGCAGATATTGCTCTCAAATACAGGTCATGCGGTTGTATGACATTTAGAAATGAAGCATTGTGGGTACATGTTGCATAATTTGATGTCAGTTCAAGGTAAGTTCATTAGCTCTGGTTGCCGTTATTGCTGATCGTATTCACTTTCTTGGAATTGTGAATTCATGTAAAGATCCGAGTTTGCTACAAAATGTAATCTCGACTCTCCTCAACAAGTCATCAACATTCCCTTTAATAGGCAGTTACATTTGATATATGTTTTTAAAAATCTCATTTATTTGAAGTTGCTTGTATCAGTGAAGGTAATTATTTTTTTGCAAACATTGTTTTTGTAATTGTTTGCCTCTTAGTGTTTTGGTCTTGTACTTAAAAATTCTGCTTTAGGTTATTCCTTTGGAGTAGGTTTTTCTAAATAAATCGTCGTCAACCTGTCTGTTGGAGAAGGGGTAGGAAGCTAACATGTTATAAAATTATTTTAGCAATATAACTGTACATTTAAACTGTAAACTACTTAAATTTAGTGATCAGTCATCATACAGTAGGATTACTTAAATTAAGCCTAGTTGGATAAATTGAAAATCTCAGATTTAAAGCAGTTTTCATCATGAAAGTTAAACAAATTTCGTAAACCCATCTTTTTGTAAAAACAAGCCAATATGGTGACCCATTGACCATCAAGTTTTTAGTGGAGCTTTGTGGTTATAGATGCTTGTCTTCAAAATCCCAGGGTCCTGGCTGAGACACCTGGATTTTTCTCAAATTCAAATTTATTGCTTGAAGTTGTCATAAAAATAGGTTTCCTATTACAAAAGCAATAATTTAAAAAAGTCCTTTAGAAACAAAAAGAAAACATTAACATATCAACTCCACTCTATTAGTGTCACTGAGAGATTTAGTTTATAGAACATTGTTCCATCCTGTAATTGGCATAAGTCCTTGCTATACAATAACTCTTTCAAATTTATAGATGGAAAACATGTAGTGAAAGCTTATTCACCCATACAGTAGTCGTGTCTGTAAAAGCATTATCTGGCACAAGCTTCCAACTGAAGGATCTTGAGTTTGAATATATCAGTCACATCACTTTTGTTCTGCAAAGAGGCCTGCTTAGCCAAGCAGCTTTTATGGTTCAGCCAAAACACACTCTTGAGTGACCTCCCTCCCTTTTGGCAAAAACCATGAATGTGATTTTGAAATCCGACACTTGTATGCTGGAATGATCAGCTTTTAATCCCCTGATTCCACAAGAGCACTCCTTCAGGACCTTAATAGGGTACATAGGTAGCCCTGGACCTCTGGCTCATATAAAAAATTCCCTAGTTTTTAAGGAACCATGGTTAATTACAGGCCTGCTGCAAGACACTTATGTTTATCAAGGAGTACAGTACCTCGTATTTTGTAGGATCATGCGAATCATTTGGAATGAAATTGATATTTGCAGAATTGAAAAGCGCAAATAGAAATACTCCACATGGAACGGAGGATCATGACATACTATATTTATTCTCGATATCACTACACTGCTATACCTGACTGTCCCTGATTGTAGAATACTCATAGAATTTACACTTGTTTGACTAACAACAATATAACAACCGGAATGTCTTTATTAATGTCAATTGAAGGTCATGTTTTGTAAACATCAGTGAATGAATATATAATGATTCCGGGAGTGTTAAGGGGATTTTTGAAAAATTTTTGTAGTCTAACATGATTTTTGAGTGCGGGTGATCGCATATCTACCTAAAATTCTGATTTGTCTTGAGAATTTGACATCATGCTGATCCCCTTTGCACTCCCGAAGAACTGGAGGTTCAATGTGTATCATGCACTGTGATTGGCTATCAAAATATTGCCTTGTTGCTATTATGAAAACTTAACCCATTTCATCAGTCATATTTTTCATAATGACGAAATGTTATTGTCTGATAAAATATATGCTATACTGTACATTGATAATCTTTAAAAAAAATAGACCCATTTTTGTGTGAGCTCCTTAAAAAAGTACAAAAAGATTTTGTAAATATGCGCATACAAATAACAAACATTCCTATGTTGTATGCTGTAGCAAATATATGCTCTTATTCAATCTTGCAATCGCTGAATTCAAAAATTGGCAATTATTATTTGAAGTCTGAAATCGTGTGAAAATGTTTGAGCTGATGATGGGATTATTGTCAGCTCTACAAGACTTGCATCTTATAATAATTCAACATTACTAAATAATATTCACAGCCACTAAGT